TGCGCACCACGAGTCATGTAGAAGAGATATTGATCAAGAGTGGTCGTCCGTCCTTCCATACAGCTAATAGTGTAAACAATTTAGTGGCGGAAGAGACGAAGCCGGCGAACATACGACTCACAACAGATGATTGGCTCGAAGACGCGCAAGATTAGCTGGGAAACGAGGGTTTGTTGATGCAGGGTTTGCGATTTCAAAGGGTTTGCGACCTAATGTCTAGTTGGGAGCAGCAGTCATCGTCTCAACCTGCAGATCGTAACTACAGCGAGACGGCCTGAGATGCAAAACACGTACGAGGTCAGACGTGAAGACTGGGATCCTAAGCTGTCGACGCCTTGCAACTTGACGTGGAACGAAGTATCTTCTGCTACGTAGTGAAGAGACGACACCCCATAATTCTATCACCGACTCGCGCGATAGAGAACCTGCAATCCGCAGTAAGAATCATGGCTGAAAATTTGCCAACATCGAGTCCTTGTCCTTTGGCTCGTTCTAGACGGATGTCAGTGGGAATACTACGCTGCAGAGGGGGAGGAACGACTCACGTAGAAGCAGGCGCTCTCAGCGCACACTGTTCATATGAAAGGACGCGTGTATCATAGAAACACAGCAACGTCAGCGCCACCGTCGCAATGTCAGCTCTTGTCACGGGACCTGTGAAAGGAATTCTTGATATGGAATTCGGAACGCCAGCCTAAGCCTCGAGGGACAAAGAACCCGGAGATACAAGGACAGCTGAAGAATCTCCCTGACTTGGCAGAAAGCACACACGGCGGCGATGAGTGAGTCGAGAATAGAGTAACCGTTACTAGTTAGGCGTTATGAGGATTTGTCTTTAACTCGTGTCAAGATCGGAAGGAAAAAAGTCTCCGCGTTATCGTGTTGAACCTTCCTCTTTGGTCTGGGATGTGGTGATTAGGTTTGATTCGGCACGACATGAGACAGATACCTGGGTCAGTCCTGCCCTTATCAGAAGGATATGGCTGATGAGTCCTTCTTGTGCAAGGTCCGACGTAGTGATCCTGAGGCGCGCTAGGCAATCTAGGCAATGCTTTTTCAGACAGAGAAGAGGAATAACAAGCGGAGTATGACTCAAGATCCGTGGTATACACTCCGCGCCAGGGATGGCAGGTCCACAAAAATGGAGGGTCGTAAAGTTGGCGGCGGCAAAACTTCGCAATACGAATCTACGAACTCGTATTGAAAGGAGACTTTCCTGCACCGGAGAATGGAAGAGAGAGGATTGTATAGCGAATACAACCAGGAAACTATCACAAGAGTTAAGTAGCATTAATGATTCCGCTTTCATTTCCAGGGTGATACTCGAGAACATGGAGGGGAATACTAATCAGACGAGGGGGAAGGAAAATCATTCACACGTGATTGCGAAACAGTGACGCATGTTTGATGATTACTCGTGGAGTTGTCAGGGAAGGAGGCACAGCATCGTCCTCGAGGTGTGCGGTGCACGGAGCTTATGCAGAGGATTAGCCGTAGGATCTACACGTTCAGAGGTTAGTGTCAAATGTCATCGTATGGCGCGTACGAGGTGGCAAAAGATGAAGGACTTGTCATATGGACGAAGACCGGGCTGTACGGGGAGTATGTGATACGACTGAATTTTGGATAAGACTGTTACGGAATTAATCTTGGGGAAGGTAGAAATGTACATACAATGTCGTTCAATAGGGACTGAGGTACGATATCATCTCATCCCCGTCTAGAGCTGACCCGCAAGAAGATCCGAGTACGAATTCAATAATCGCCAGCTGCAGGCAAAATACGAGTTGACCCTATGGCGAACAATGATGCAATGCGGGGTAAAAGCTCTCTCGGGGATGGCAGGAAGATGATAAGATTATAGGCCGGGCACGAAGGGATGACGTCAACATTAGCATTTCGTCATGCCAGCCGTTGTCAAGTGCCGCCGCGGACATGAGATTCGAACGACCGTGTCATCTAACTGATCCGCCTCATTATCTGGAATATCCCCAAATCGACTTAAGAAAAAGCCCCCCAAATTCCCTTCGTCGTATGATTTGGGAGTCGGGCACGATGCATGATCATACTCCCTCTCGATCAACCTCATTGCAAGGGTCGAGCGACACAGAGGCGTCGGGAGAAAAGTCACCCACGCTCCCAAGATTCAACGCGTCCAGTCATGTGAGGGTGCCGTACAGGATAGTTTCGCCGCCACCACCACCACAACCGACGTAATGCCGGCAGGTGTGCAACGTTGAGCGGACATATCCGCCTTGCGGGCGGGGCAATAGGGGCGAATCATAAACAACTTACTGGATTTAGCATGTTGAAAGGGAGAGGGTGAAGTAAGTCAGGCTAGTGCGGCTTATCTCCTGCTGGGGGAGGGGAACAATGGGAGCCATGAAGCCAAGAAAGAATTGGCGTACACGAGTCATAAACTCAGTGTATGGGTGTACATACAGGAAGAAGAGGTGATAGAGAATAGGCATGGCGTGTTTCTCCCAGAAGGAGATGGCGGTGCAGAGATAAGAAGTCAGTTAATTATCGAGCTGCTGTCGAAGCCCCCGAACGACGACACACACACGTGTATCGAGCAGCGCAGAGTCACCGCTTAGGATCAGTGCGATCACCGGGAACCGCCTTTACAGAAATTATGATCTGTGGGTGCACCTCGGATTCAGAAATCTAGCCAGAGGGTATGAGGATCTACGGTGGTTACTACCCGTATCAATATCCATCAGATTGTGCACTATCGTCCTCCGAGGAAGAACTCTTCCATCATGCACATGTGGGAAAGAGCGAAAGGGAGGAGGGGGGGAGGAGAAAAACTCGACAGCAGCAGCAGCGAGGTTTCAGTAGGTTGTCAAATGGTAACAAGTGGGTGACGACCCTGAGCGCCAGCTGCCGATCATGATCCCAATATGGAATGTCAGAAGCAACCCATCTTCCAGTGGGCCGCCACAACTGTACCCTCCCTCGAGTCCCGTAAGTATTTGATTTTCAACGTGAAATGAACAAGCCCGCTGAGAAAAAGAAAAAGTAGACTGTTCTGGTCCGCCCAAACACTGACAGGGCGGTTTTGACGCGACGTCGGGCGAACTATTTTGGCGGTGAAGCTTGAGTGGTGATGAACGGCGGGGCTAAGCACGATCAAGCAGCATATTCATGCCCGACGCCTGACCGACGTTTCTTAATCAAATGAGCGTGCGCGTGTAAGTGAGTGCGGGTATCACGTCAGGAAAATTTCTTGACGCGCTCTCACGCACCGACCGAGTCAAGTTGCTTCTTTTAGACACGAAACAAGAGAGCAGCAGCGGGCATCCGCCGTTTTGCGAGGATCCGTTCTCATAAATTATTAGCTGATCTAGAATGTGTTGATTGAGGCTCAGAGAAAAAGTAGACCAAGAGGGAATCGAATTGCCTCCGTGACGTAGCGGGTCCGCACGCGTTTTCTCACGTCCCGACCGAGTCAAGATTCCTCTCCGGGTGATATTACCTACCCGCGGGATTCTGCGTCGGGCACAATGTATACTATAATATAAAGTTTCCCCCATCTTCATATCATTCGTGCATATGCACACAAACATTGTACCTAAGGAATGCAATAATCCAAACCCTTGATTGCAACAGCTCATTGTCCTCCCGGAGCGGAAACTCGCGTCCCATAACACAGACGCGAGACTAATGACAACCCGCGCGACGTGTTCGCGCCATGCCTTTTAAAGCCCGATGACTAGGACGCGCACGCACGCGCGGGACCGACGCGTCAAAACCCGGGCACTTTTGACATCCTTCTGCTTCTTCTTCTCCCTGAGGCTTCTTCTGTTCCCGCCCATCTTCCCTTTACCGTCCACACGAGGCAACCCCCAATATACACACTAACCCATTGTCCGCCCTTTTAGGATAGCTTTTCAGTTCGCATCTCGATTCTGGTCTGACATTTTTTCTTTTTAATGAATGAGATGAACTTCCCGCTTCTCATAACCTTCGAGTGGATGGATGGGTGCGGGTACGGATGTTCGATCTACTAGCGCTTAACAATGGATAGGCATTGTTCCTTCTGCCACCAAACTAACATCTCACCGTTCACCGCGACATCATCATCATAACATCTTGAGATTCCAATCCCTGACGTCACCCATCTGACTTTCCATAATCGTCGAACAATGCTATGAGGGAGGGGCCCGCGCTTTGATATTTGCCGTGGCGGTGAAATACGCAACGAGTTTGCTTGCTTGCTTGGACCCTTTTCTTTCTCGTTTCGGGATTTGAGAAACTCACGCCGCCGGTTAGGGCCCAATGTCTCACATGGATAGATCGGCACAGCCACTGGTTATCGAGATGCAGGAGTCACGGCCTAAACGGGCGAAATACAAACGGCCGGGTCTCGATTGCCGCAAAGGGAAACTTGAAAGAGATCTGAGTGTCTTCTGAGCCCCGTGACATGAGGATGGGTGGTGTGGTTATAATTCCGAGGAGGAGGAAGGGGGAGGTGTGATTTGTGGGCTATTAATCTGTAGGGGGGATGAAAAGCTAGAAAAATACGAGATTATCGGCGGAGAGAAGATGAAGATGAATGGATAAATAAAATACCCACGACAAGGGGAGGGGGGTGGAAGAGATGATCTTTACGTGGGTCAAATGATGAAATGAGCGACATCGAAAAAGATAACGGAAACAATAAATTATTCGATCATGCCTCTGACTCGCCTAGGATCCCGGAGCCAGATAACCGATAGAAAAAGACAATAACGCCACCCCTCCATTTCAGGACGAAATTCCGTTTTTAGCGTGAACAATGAAAAACGCGGGAAATCCAGGCTCAGCGGGGGTTTTTCCTGACAGGTCGAAAGTATAAAACTGAGGGCTCGTAATTGTCTTTCCAATTGTGCCCCGCGAGACAAAAAACTTGGCAACTTGCTCCCCTCCTCCCTCTCTCTCCCTGGCGACACCTATAGGGTATTATCATTTCCCTCTCTTCTCTCTCTTCCTTACCACCACCACCACCATCATCGATAATGCCCGCTCTTCGCACACGCGATGCCCAATCCCGATGTAAGTGCAGTATCAGTTCGCGTTAGAAAGTGGCAAGCAATTAAAACTGACCTTCTCATTGGATCTAGCACTCGAAGTGACGACGGACGCCCCCCAGCCACCAACCCTCGCCATAATCTCGCCCACCCCCCGCGCCTTCACGTTCCCTACAACCCACAACCTCACCGACAGTCCTTACTCCTCCCCCTCCAACTCTCCCTTTGAACTCGCCGCCACCAGCACACCCCCGAGCTCCTACCGCACCCTCTCCCCCGCCACAACCACCTCTCCCAGCCCTAAAGAACGCCGCCCCAAAAAGGGCGACGAAGACTACATCAAACGCCCCGAGAACGCGTTCATCCTCTTCCGCCGGAAATGCTGCGAGGACCGCCAAGAAGGGTCCCCCCCAACAACGAAGAAACAGCGCCAGGCAGACCTCTCCAAGACGATCTCCCAGCAGTGGAAGGGTCTCTCCGCGGAGGAGCGGCAGTACTGGGAACAGCTCGCCAAGGAGAAGAAGAAGGAGCACGAGCAGATGTACCCCAACTACGTCTACCGGCCTCAGCGGACGAAGAAGGCTTCTGCTGGCGGGAGGAAGAGTGGGAGTGGGGGGAGGCGGGAGAGCGTGGATTCGGAGTACATGTCCTTCGTGCTCCCGACGCGACAGCTGCATGGACGATCCTCGTCTGCGCCTAGTCCGTACCAAGCGATCCAGATACCCAACGTGTACATGTCGCCGCCCTCGTGCCCGACATCGCCGTCCCTGATGCCTATGATCAGCGCGAGCAGGAGAGGCTCCGAGGTCGCGTTCGATTTCCAGCCGACGACGACGGCGTATAACATGGGTTACGAAGCAACTCTCCAGGTGAGTCTTGTCCGATTACTAAACCCGAGTTCCTGTCTAACCTGACGTTGCGTTCAGCCCCCAGAGTACGTGTACGACACCCAAGGTGGAGGAGGACTCACGAACAGCCCAACGGAGCTTCTCCCACCCGCGCAGATCACCTCGCCCCCATCCTCAATCTGCTCATCCCCCCGCTCCGGCCCGTTCACACCCCCCACCAACCTCCCCCTCCCCACATACCCCTCCTCCTCCCTCGACCAAGAACAACAACAAGCCGAATTCGACTTGTCCCTCAACTTTTTCAACAACGCCTCTTGGTGGGGGTCCCAAGACAGCACATCGTCGTCCTCGTCCGGGGGTTTCGCCCCAGACGACTTTGATATGAACGCTATCCCGCCAATAGATCTGGGTATACCAAAGTTCCACGGTGTAGTTGAGGACTACCTAGATCCGTACGCGTTTGATTTCGAAGGCGGTGGTGGTACGGGTGAGGTGGTTATGGAAGGTCACGGGTTCGGGCTTTGTCAGTGAAAGGGGGATACGCTGGGCGTCTCCCCCCTTCACTTTTTTACTTTATTTTCTTCATTTACCCTTGCAGGTTGTGGTATGGACTATTTTATTACTTTCTTTTTTTTTTCTCACCTCCCCTTACGCTCTCCCCCGATGCGTTGTACAACCCGCCCGATTTCCACGTTCTGTTGTACCATCATTGCTCGACACGTTTTTACGACCCAGTATTTTGATTTTTTACGAACCCGTTACTTACCGTATTCCCCCTCATACCCTCACTTATTCCTAAAGACAATAAAGTCACCCCATTGAAGACAGAACAATAAAGAAAAAAGGCCCATCGCGCACGGAGAAAACTCGGCTCTGAGAGGAAAACAAAAACAAAAAGCAAAAAGCGCCCCAAAAATCCGAAAAAGGAAGGTACAAACACAAAGATACGTCAACACCGAGTTGCGTGTGTCCTTTTTCTTTAAAAGAAAAATGGGAAATGAACTGTTGTGGCGACGAAGCCCTTGAGCAAAAAGGAAATCTCAAACGGAAGCTGAAATTCATTAAATGAAAGGAACAATAACAAGTCCTGGGCGGGGCTACAGTCGGGCATGACTCGACTTTAGCCTCGTGTTAGACTTTGTTTATCGATTGATTCCTGGGAAAATAAGGCACACAGAATATCAGTAAAGGAAAGTTGAAGGACAGAGGCGTACGGCCGTCTAAAGTCCCTCTCGTATTGAGCCCGACGACGCGAGTCCTGACGGAAAAGGGTGGCGCGGAACCCTGTTCGTGGGACTCCCCGAGCTATGGAATGTTGGCATTGACGGGTGGTGGTGGGTTATCCCGAGCACGAGTCACTAATGCCCTAAAGACATGTTGATGCGAGCCGAGGTGGACGAACGAATGAATGAATGTTGCGTACCGTGTTTGTATGAAGGAGAGGGGAAATTCCGGTTGGAGTGCGTCGACCGGGGGGAGTGAGTGAGAGGGAACAGCCAAGAGACGCCCATCGACTTCGTCTTGATATACCCACCCCACGCCTCGACCGCGTGGTAACAGAATGGAACACAGGCGCTGGCAAGGAGACAGAGCGAGCTAATAATGGATACCTGACGCCTGGGCAGAAAGGAAAGAAAGACTTGCCCTTGCTTCAAACCGAGCGCCTTTTGAAGTATCCCAGAACAAAGGGAAGGACACAAAGACGGAACAAAGGAAGGGTCACCTCCCACAACCTCACAGTCATTGTTCTCCAAAAACACAACAAGTGGCTCGCAATTATCCCACGAGCGTACATACAACAAAGCACTATGCCTGCTTAGGCTGCACAAACGAACCATTAGCCACTCGACACGCAAAAAGAGCGCATACAGACACACCTTGATATCATCCCCTAACCGCTTCACCGTCAACGCCGGCCTCTCCGCCGTCTTGGCTCCCGCCTCGCCGTTGTCCCACGTATACGAACTCGCAATCGCCAGCTTGCTCCCATCGCAGCTAAACGCGACACTCGACACGGGATTATTGAACTTGTTCAGCTGTCTCAGTCGTTTCTTCGCTTTGGGATCCCAGATGGAGACGACACCGTCTGAGCCTGCTGAGGCAAACATGTTGTACCTACCAGGAGAAGGGGGATTAGAGTGAAAGGGAGGGGAGGGAGAGGAAGGGAGCGCACGTAGGATGAAAAGCCAGCGCGTTCACAGGCCAGACGTGGTCTACCCCTTCAATCGTCTGCCTATGACACTTGAACGCGTACTTGTTCGCCTGCACCTCCGGCGACGCATCGAAATACTCCACCGCGATCCTACCCTCCGTCGACGCCATCGCGTACCCTAAGCCGCACACCACCGTCAGTAACAGCCCGTAGCACATATCCCACGAAAACGCACCTTCCCCATTAGCCATACAAGCCAACGACCTCGTCAAGTACTTCAAACTGCTCTCCCTCTCCTGCAGGGGCGCCTCCATCCTCCGCGTATCGTATATCCGCACCAGGCGGCTCGCCATCGCCAACACGAGCATATGCCCCACTATATCGATGTGGTACACCCTCTCCGGCATGAGGTCGCTCGATTGTTGGGCCGTATCCGCACGGGGATCCCAGAAGCGGAGCGTCCGGTCCCAGGACCCTGTGATTAGGGCGTTCTTGTCTGTGGACCAGACCATGGAGGATATGGAATCGTCGTGCGCGCCTAGGGGGGTCGTCTTTTCTGTTTCGAGGCCTAGGCTGGCAAGGAGGGAAGGGGTTAGCATGTATGACAGCGAGGAGTGACTAGCGAGCGCACTGTCGAACCGTACAGTCCAGCCCCCCGCTATACGCGTTCGTAGCATTCGACCAACAACAGCTCAGCACCGCTGCGCGGTGGTCGAATTTCGCCTTTTGCTCGTTGGGCTTGTCTGTGTCGCCCGTATCGTAGAATCGCACCGTCTAACAACGGACCATTAGTCACACCCTCGACGCGTAGGAGCAGACGCGACGTAGTACGTACCGTGTCCCAAGAAGACACCAGCAAATGCTCGGGGTTCGTAGGCGAGAACCGGACTTGGGAGATACTATCGAACGGAGGCGATTGGAGGGTCCATTGGGTGGGGTCTACGGAGTAGGTCAGTGGTTATCGTGAGAGGGTTAGACGCGTTTTTTTACTTTACCTGCCATGGAGGTCGAAAAGATGAGGTTGTTTGGCTTTGTTTGAATTGGGGTGTAAAAGCAAATAGCGGGTAGGGCGGATGTCGGTCCGGTGAGCCGGTATTCGTCTTGCAATTATCTCGACGCTCGTGGTCAGGATAGTACTTATACTTGCGCGCGTCTGCCTGATTGAAGCGAGCCTCGCTTTAAACATTTGCTTTGCAGCTTTCTCTGCCCTACGTTCTTAATTGCTTCTCGATGGCATACCACATTTCGATGATTCCCCTCTTCATACATTTTTCTTATCAATGATCAACTTGTCCCCATTCTCTACGTTCTCTGATGCCCTCAAAACTGTCCTCCCCTCCCTGCAGAGAATAATACGGTGCCCTTCTCGGGATCCTGCTATTTTTCTCCTCTTTAATACGAAGAACCATTTCTTCTGGACAACACTCAGAAGACTCCTTCTCGCATCAGTTCTACGACTTCAGCGGTATAATTCCATAGTATGAACCTCTATTTCATATCTCTGTTCATAACCTGTATCATGTTAATCTTCATGTACAACTTCCATGTTCCACAAAACCGATAGTACGACGTCCCCGCCCACCCGCTCCACCCTCCCAACTCACTCCCTTCTTCTCCTTGGGCTCACCGCCCTCTTTCTCTCTGAACTCTGAGCTTAGGGAATCTTCGAATCGTCCTACTTGCCAAAGGACCAGATGGCTGTACCAAAATAAAGTCAAAGGCACCAGGATGGAGTCGGTATTGACTCGCCGCAAAGCTATGCGCTACGATGATGAGGAGGGGGACTCCAAAAACTGCCAAACTCCCCCCGATTTATTTATTGGCCACAACCATCTATGACTAGGGCGATTCTACACAACGGCGTCCTAGAATGTTTTTGACAAGATACACCAGCCTATTACCGAAACCGTACTCATGACGTGGCTTTACCACAACGACAGAGCCTGCAGTCGGATCGGTACCATACCAACCTTATTCCTCGTGTTTTCCCGGATGCTGTCCTCCCTTCTTATTCTTTCCAAAAGATACCCACATATCCCCTCCTTCCTTCCTTCCTTGGCCAAAAGATTAACTGTACGTCAATTCTGCGAGAACCGGCTCTGAACCCCCCCCCCCCCCCCCCCGGTTGTTTTCTATGACGTTCGTCCCTAATGTGAAACCCAACACGGGAACAATCCCTTTCTTCTCATCATTTCACTAACTGCTCAGCGACATTAAAAGATAGCCGGTGCATCCATTCCACGAGCTTAATCGTATAACGGGCAATGTTACCCGGACTGCCTCGCGTAACTCTTCACTGTTCTCTACACCGCCCACCGAAAAGATATTTCAACAATGTCGGAAGAATCATATGGCTGTGTAATCCCCCTGATATTTGGTGACACCTGACCGATGTACCGTGGCATATCAGATCCTCAATTGCAGGAGCCTTCATAAGGGGCATATCTGGCGACATATCCGAGCTGATCTGTCCGAGATGTTTAATAGGGATGTCGCAGATGGATATCATGGCTTGTATTATCTTACATTTGATGTCATGTCCATAATCCATCTTATTTCTCTCTATTCTGCTGAGCTTCCCTTAGACCGGCGTATTTTGTTCATTGGAGATACTGCGCTAATTGCTCATGTAAATGTCAACGCAGATTGTATAGCATTAATCAAGAATTAAAACAGTGGACGGTATCTTAAAACTTTAAAGTGAAAAGAATGACGGTGAAGTCAAGGAATGTAGTGATCATGAACTCCCGTACTCAGATCAATCATCAGCGACAACTTGGGCCTCTGCAGGATAGCTGCTCAGATCACCCACAGAAGCGGTATTGCCATAGTTAGCACGATCATCGTCGAGCATCTTGCGGAGGACTCTATTAAGGGAAATGCTATCAGAATAGTCCGACACTCAATGAAACTGGACTTACACCGTAATGCGCATTTGATTATTGTCTTTCTTCTCTCGCAGTTCTTTCAGATCAGCATCGACCTCATCCCACCAGCCAGCACTAGCCTTGCCATCTGTGGAGCATCCAGCACGAAGTGCAAAGCTATTGCGCTAGTCTGTTGGTCAGGACTGAGGAGACATTCAAAGCAATGAGAAGCATACCAGGAAAGCGACACGGGCCATCAGAGGAATTGAGACCACAGTATCACAGGACTTGCCACCAACAGCAGTGATGATCCTCTCACACAACTCGGCAATACCAACCGACTCACCCGTGAATGCCTGGAGGGTCTTGTCAAAGGTTCCGAAAGATCGTCCAATCTATTTAACACGCATCAGACGGCAATGGAGAGTGAGCTTGTGTATAACACACCTCTTCTTTGGTCACGTTGCGGTGATGGATAAAGCGTGATCCGATTTCTTGTGTGATAACACGCATGGCAGGCTTGTGGTTGGCGACTGCCTCCGTTAAACCCCAGTCTGGTCGAGCTTTGAGCTTGCGCTACAAGACTTCAGCTAAATTCCTTCAGTCAGCACCAGTAAACATACCAATAGTTTCTTTTTGGCCACTCCTCGGACTTGTATGCAGAAATCGTAGGGTCCAGAAAGTACCGAATGGACCATTCGTCTATCTTACTCTGAAATCCCATTATGAGATGGCAAAACTCTGGCGAAAAAAACACGCACGCTAAGTGTAGAAGGAATCTCATAGACTCCTGATGGCTGGAGAACGTTCAGTCGATCCTTGATGGAGATAAGGTAGGCAGCGGTCCATATATCTTTCAGCTCAACACCCGGCAACTTTAGACAACAAGAGATCAGTGAGAGTATCTCTAGGGTGTATTTGAGACCAAGTACCTTTGCAAATGCGCTCAGTAACTCGCAATCCACCGGTTTGAGCTGCAGAGTGCGTTGTTAGCCACTAACTCTATCGACTTAGATCGTGCTAGGATTGCTACTCGCACTTCGGTAGGCAACACTCTAGCAAGCCAAAGGGGATGAAAGTCGATGGGACAGATAGTCACGAAGGACGGAGTTTAGGATTAGGTAGATTAAACCTTAGCCGAAGCTGGGGTTCAGACCAGCTGAGGCTCTACTTAAATACATGTAAGTACGCTAAAAATAGTACTGTGGGAGTCAGTCCATGGTGATCGCGCACCGCGTAATCCGGCTGACTAAAGAAAAGAAAAGAAAAGAAAATGAAAAGGAAAAAAGAAAAGAATAACCGTAACATTACCCCCCCCTTAAGGCTCATTCGTCCCGATGAGACACTGAACCTCTGTTTCCCCTTCCTTCCGCATGAGCGAGTATGAGGGTCTCCCTTCTGCTTTAAAACAGGATCGAACGGACCTCCGCTACACCGTAAAAGAGTCACTTCGTGTGTTCGGCCTCTGACTCGTTCTCCCCCTGGACTTAGGTCCCGAAACTTCCTAAGCCACCTTGCGCCGGTTAGGCCTCAACTGTCTGTCGGGATCCGCGATCCCTAAGGGTTCAATGCTCGTAATTGAGCGGTGGAAATCCCCTTCTACACCGTGGAGATATATATATGAATTTAGATTACACTCATCTGAGATGAGTGGCTTGTGTCGCCCCCGGTACTTGAGGTTGAATATCGTGATTCTGAATGGAATGACCAGGTATCATCCTCCGTGTCGTCATCATTGTCGCTATCGAAGTCCCAATTTTCCCGTATACGCTGGAGGTTTTGTAGGTTTACTTCCTCCTCTTCGTCAGTAAAGTCATCGGCATGGTTAATAGTATCGATGACTTCAGATGAGGCATAAGAGTCTTGTTGGGTATCGGAGTGTTTTGGGTTTGTACACTCAGATGAGTATACCGTTTCGATGTCGGTGACGCATGGGGTGTCGGGGTCATGGTATTGGATTGGTAAGTTGCGCAGTATTTTATCGTCAAATCCGATCATCTTTCCTTTGTCGTTTACTGTCCACACGATTTTTTGAATTCGTGTCTCGTAGTCATTGACGAGGTCTTCGGCATTAGCCATGTCGGAGCGTTTGACCCATGAGTTTTCCTCCGCTGGGTATCCTTTCCATTTTACCAAGTACTTGGTGATGGTGCGGCGGGTCCGTCCGCGACCCACGATACGATCCCTCTCTCCAACTATTTCTTCTATCTCGTATTCTTCTTCATCATCTATAAGTTCTGGGGGTGGCCGTTCAGGATGTGGCTGATTCGGGAATTCAGGAGCATGGTATGGGGTCAATAGTGCCTCGTTGAATCGGTTGTGAATACGCCACTTTGCGGGAAGTTTGAGTTCATATGCGGAGGCCCCTTTCTTTGCAATAACGGTGAAGTATCCTACTCGCCTATCCGCTAGCTTTTTGGTTGGGCGTGGAAGACTTAGATTGGTAGAGTCTAGCCACACCTTGTCGCCGATCTGATAGGGGATCGACTCGCCTTTCCGTTTATCATAGGCCTTTTTCATCGACTCGGCAGCCCGTTTGAGAGATTCTCGGGCTTTTTCCTGCACCTCCTGAATTCCCTGAACGAGTTTGGAGGCCGCTGGCACTGCGTCTGGATGCTGGGTCGTTTTGATAACCTGTCCATCGCGCCCAAAGACGACCTTGTACGGGGAGAAACCCATAGCAGAATGTTTTCGGTTGTTGTGAGTGAACGCGGCAAGCGATAACCACTCGCTCCAGTCGTCTTGTCGGTAACTGACAAACATCTTGAGGTACTTCTCTATCTCCTGGTTTACCCTTTCAGTCTGTCCATCCGTCTGAGGGTGGTAAGCCGTTGAGGGATTTCCTGTTACTTGTAGAAGCGCGTAGAATTCTTTCATGAACTTTGACACGAATACGGCGCCCCTGTCCGAAATGACTTTCTCCGGCATTACGCCGTACGGTACGTAGATGTGGTCTCGCAGAATTTTGGCAAAGCCGAGGGACGAGAGCTCCTCGGTGCAGGCGATTGGAATTATGGTTTTAGAAAACCTATCCACTATTACGAGAATGGAGTTATTCCCTTTGGAGTCTGGGAGTTTAGTGATCATATCAACCGAAATATGTGTCCAAGGTCGGTCTGGGACTTCGTTCGGGTGAAGGGGAGCCTTCTTAGGACGTCGATCTGCCTTCGTTCGTTGGCAGACCTCACATCCCCTCACGTACGCCTCCACTTCTGAGCGCATCTGGGGCCACCAGTAGTCACGTAAGACTAGCTCCTTTGTTTTTTCGATCCCCGGGTGTCCTGCGGTGACGTGGTCATGTCGGAGGGCGATGATCTCGCCTCTCAGGCGTTTATCTCGAGGTACATAGATGCGTCCATCGTACCACAACAACTCTTGGTCCCTAAAGACCCCCTTTTCATGATTGAGAGAGTCGGATATTCCTCGATCCCACTTGCGAGGGTCGTGAATAGCCAGCTTGATCTTTTCATGTAATTCCTCCGCCATAGGCATAACCAGTGCTCGGAAATGAGCCGGTTTTAAGACCACTATGTCTTTGTTATCCTCTTTTCCCTGGTCATGATCCGCTCGTCGAGACAATAGGTCAGCCTTGCGATTTTGAGCCCCCGGCTTATGATGTAGCGTGAATTGATATTCGGCTAGTTCGGTTACCCACCGAGCTTGCCGTCGGTTAAGTTTTTGGGGCTTCCGAAAGTACTGAAGATTGGAATGATCCGTCCAAATCTCGAAGTTCTCTCGGGCGCCCATAAGGTACTGCCGCCACTCCTCCAACGCAATCATGATAGCAAGGAGTTCTTTATCGTAGATCTCGTAGTTGCGCTCCGTAACTGACAAGGCTTTGGAAAGAAAGGCTACGGGTCGCCATTTCTCGTCTTGCCATTGGGACAATACTGCCCCAATGGCTCCTTCGCTGGAATCCGCTTCTACTCTGAACTTTCCGTTATCCAGCGGGATGGCCAGGACTACGTCCTCGCGAAACAACCTTTTGATCTCAGCGAATGCTTTCTGCTGAGCTTCTCCCCATTTCCATTCCACCTTTCCCGTCAGAGCTGTAAGGGGTCAAACGTGTTTGCTATAGTCGTGTATAAACCGACGATAGAAGTTGCAAAACCCCAGAAACGACTGGAGTTCCTGCTTCTTTGATGGAGTGGGCCAATCTAGCAGGCCAGCAATTTTGATGGGGTCCATGCGGATCTTCCCTTCGCTGATGAGCACTCCTAGGTATTCCGTCTCTTCAACCTCAAACTCGCATTTCTCCGCCTTGAGGAATAGCTTGTTTTCACGTAGGATTCGGAGTACTTCGCGTACGATGCGTCGGTGGTGTTTCTTGTCCCTTGAGGCGATAAGGATATCATCCAGGTAGACCGATACTTCTCCAGCGGTGATGAGATCCTTGAAGATATCGTTCATCATCCACTGGAAGGTCGCTGGCAAATTTGTGAGCCCAAAGAACATAACCAACGGCTCGTAGAGGCCGCGGTTCGTCCGGAACGCCGCCTTCCACTCATCCCCCTGTTTTATCCTGACGTTATTGTATCCCCAGCGCACATCCAACTTGGTGAAGTATTTGGCCTGCTTTAGTCGATCCATAAGTTCCCCGATAAGCGGTAAGGGATAGCGATTCTTGATCGTCATCTCATTAAGCTTTCGGTAGTCTTGGACTGGACGAAGCTTCCCGTCCTTCTTTTTAACAAAGAAGAAGGGGGAGGCCATGGGCGACTTCGAGGCTTGAATGCGACCCGTGGCGAGGTTCTCATCCAGGAACTTATCCAATTCTTCCTGCTCGGTCGGATTGAGAGGATAGACCTTGCAGTCTAGATTGGCATTAGCGTTGGGTACTAGCTCAATGGCGTGGTCCCAAGGCTTCCGTGGAGGCAACTCGTCGAAGTTCTCTTTGGCGAAGACATCTTCAAAATCTCTATACTCCCCCAGCACTATTTCTTCGAAGGACTTGGTAGTTTTATGGGCGTTGGCCTGGGCAGCTAGTTCATTAGCCTTCGTCCCCATGGCCCATACATGGAATGCCTCCTCAAAGTCGATTACTAGAATGGTATCACCTTCCTCGTATTCCTCCCAACGGGCCGATGGGTCAGCGTCGGGGAGGGAAAAAGGGATTTTTCGACAGGTACAACGGGCTAAGGTGACGGCCCCGGTGTTCCAATCAATTAACGGATTGTGTCTCTGTAGCCAGTCGTGCCCAAGGAAGAGAGGGGTGGAGCCTAAGTCCACTATGGCCAGCTCGATTCGTTCCACGTGATCGCCTATGCGTAGCCGAACCTCGGCATATTCGGTAATATCCCCCCCCTTGTTCCTGGTGCCGTCGGCGTTATAGACCGGGACGGGTTGGGCCGCCTTTTTGAGATTCAAGGTGTGGTCCTGGGCCCAGGCACGGTCTATGGAACTGCCGGTGGCTCCGCTGTCCACGAGCGCCTTGACGGAGTGCGCCTCTCAGGTGTCTAACGTTTCCAATTGCACGGTAATAGATACATTGTGTCCCTTTCTTCCTCGTATGTACATGGGGGGTTTTTTGAGATCCTCTAACCACTCCCATTTGTCCCTCGCCTCCGCCGCAGTCTCGGGTTGTTCCTTGAGTGCTTCCCACAACCCAATCGTTACTTCCCCTGCTCGACGGGGATGTATCCATCGATATAAAGTAGCGAAAGCGGCCGCCTCAGTGGTGGCGAGCCGTAGGGCCCGGCGAGTCCAGTGTGGCCCGAAGGGCTCGTAGTACGTGTCCTGGACTGGGGTTCGCTTGGTAGGCGCTGATCCTAGGACAGGGATCACAAAAGGATTCCCTCGTGGTGATCGGACGGGTATATCGGACCGTAGGTATGCTTCTTCATCTTCCACTTCTTCCAAAAGAACTGATGGCATCTTCCCTCGAAGTGGCATTTGGTCACCGGGACGAGAAAGGTCCCGAGGTGGCACTTGGGCGCCTTTGGTAGTCGAGGTGGTGGAGGAGGGCTCTCTGCCCTGTGTTCAGCCCTGGCCACGGGCGCTTGTGCGCGGCGTTGTAACCTCCACTTTGGATCCGTACTTACTGCTCTTCCTAGACCCGGCGGTACTTCGGGTAACCCTTCGCGGGGGCACACATATCGGCTCCCTCGAGGGGTCTGCACTGTTGGCCACCGG